CGCTATGGAATGCAGTTCTACTGTGCAACACATGGAGTCACCATAAGTTGGTATCATCTTAACAGCAACTTGTTTTTTTAATTTTTTTTTTACCGTTCCCTGAGAGCCACAGTTATCAGTATAAAACATTCTTATCTGCCATACCAGAAACAAAGGTAAAATGCCTTTAAGGATTACACTTGGACCAGCCTGAATTAAGATTCACACCCTACCATTTACAGTCCTTGAACGAGGCATCAAACTTGCTGGGGCCTCAGTTTCTTCATCTGTGAAAATGAGGGTAATACCTTCAAAGGATGAATGAAGGTTAAATAAGATAAAACATGTAAAAAGCATTTATAAAAGTTGGAGAGGGAAGCAGGAATGAAGGTGTGAGCACCAATTCTGTGATGCTGAGGTTTCCTTGTGAAGCTAACACAACCTCATGAGGTAAGGTTGGCTAATTTTTCTTCTTGGAGGCTATTTCAAGTAAAAATGAGTTCATATTTTTAAATTTTTTAGAAAATCCTAGTTTCTTCCTTTTGAAGCAGCTATCTTAGGACTCTCTTAGAAAAACTAAGAATTTTCCAATTATATTGAGATTTCACCTCCGTGTTTCAATTTTAATTTCATTTAGCAATGACTTTTTTTGCCCTCTCCTAGATACAGAGAAAATTGTCTTTATTTTTTAAACTGTTTCTAACTTCCAAGATTTCTTGAAACATGACTGTTAGGGTAGCATTAATAAACCTTTTTTGCGAATCCTTTTCTCCAGCACAGCTATGATATGCTTAACCTGACTCTTTTCTTTTTACCCGATGCCCTTTGTTTCATGCAAGTCACACCTACCTAGGGAATTAACAGTATTTGAATAAAAATGTATTCATTCATTACCACATGTTCTTCTCTGAGTTGGGTAGTTTCACCTCACTCCCGCATCGAGCTAATCAAGACCTAATGAAGCTGCATTAAATTCGATCTCAGAAGGTATAATTTTCCAATTGAATCTAAACAATGTGCGACCTCTATGGTGACTTCCATAAATACAGCATAACTTCAGTTAGTCCAGCTAGCAGGGGATGGGCAGAAAGAATAACCATTTTACTTGGACAATGGCTTCTGTGTTTTGTCAGGCTCTTCATTTCTCCTCGCTATTCCTAGCCTGCCTCCATGAATACAATGGCTTTTTAACATCCTTCTCAGGGCAGTACTGGAGACCCCATCCATCTCCAGACATCGGTGGCTGCACCGTAGCCGAGCATCTCATTATCTCAAAGTGAAGCATTCTGGGAGAATGGAGAAGGCAGGCAGCAATAGGAATGGGGGAGGGAAAAAGAGGAAGGGAGCTATGAAAAATATATGTTCATTTCCTTGGTGATGATAATATGTTATGGATGTAATACCTTCTTGTTTTAGAAAGGAAGAAGATGTAGGATGTCGAAAACCCATGACTAAGCAGATTCTAGACCCTATTACTAGTTATAGCTGCCTTAACCCCCTTCCCCTCCCCAACACTCATACCTGAACTCACAGGAGCCATGTTGGTGGGAGGAAAGCAATGAACCAAACATTTAATAAAAAACTATGGTTCCAAAATAGAAAAAGAAACCAGACGCACACATACACAAACACATACCCAGCACTACCTTATCCATTTGAAAATTTTTTCTTCCAGTTAACCTGAATGCATGCACTACCTTAGCCAAAATAGATTAAAGCAATTGCCTGTAACATGTTAGAGGTCACAAACCCCTTTAAGAATCATTTAAAACGATGACTCCTTATCAAAGGCCTGAAACCCACCCATATCCACTTCAAAATCAAACCAAACCCATTGCCGTTGAATCGATTCCAACTCATGACAGCCCCATGTGTTACAGAGTAGAACTGCTCCATAGTTTTTTTTTTTTTTGGCTACCACCTTTAAGGAAGCAGATGGCCAGGCCTTTCTTTAGTTGCACCACTGAGTACATTTGAACCACCAACCTTTAGGTTAGTAGTCGAGTGCTCAACCATTTGTGACATCCAGGTACCTTATGTTCACTCCAAACCAAAAAGCAAACCCGCTGCTGTCAAGTTGATTCCAACTCATAGTGACCCTATAAGACAAAGTAGAACTGCCCCATAGGATTTCCAAGGCTGTAATCTTTACAGAAGCAGACTGCCACATCTTTTTCCTGTGAAACAGCTTGTGGGTTCAAATCACCGACCTTGTGGTTAGCAGCCAAGTGTTTTAACCACAGTGCCACCAGGACTCCTTATGTCCACCTCCCCAAACCAAACCCATTGCTGTTGAGTTGATTCTGACTCAGCTACCCTGTAGCTACCCTATAGTACCGTGTAGAACTGCCCCATAGGGTTTCCAAGGTTGTAATCTTTACGGAAGCAGACTGCCACATCTTTTCCCATGGAGCGGCTGGTGGGTTCGAACCAAAGACCTTTTGGTTAGCAACACAGCACTTAACCACAGCGCTACCAGGGCTTCTTATGCCTATCCCAACCCCCCCTAAATTAAGAATTTCTAGATTAGACATTCATTTCAGTTTATAAGTATTTCCTTTTTAAACTCAAGGGTCTTTAGGGAATAGTCAGTGGCTATCAGTAATTTTGTCAGTGGGAGATTAGTTTTAATCTGTTAGTTTGCCTCTGAAGTCTGGCTGACATCTGAGCCTGTGATCAAAATACAGGAATTTTGTTAGGGTGAGGTAAACTCTTTATGAACATTGAGCAGTGTGTAGAGGAGGGAAGGCTTAGTTCTAGAGGCATTTTCAGGGCAGTATATAAAGGTATTGGACACTGAACAAGAGATGAGAAGTGGTTTTTGGATAAGAGATGCCAAAAATAAACTTCATCTCTTTCCAAATTTTGCTGACCTTCAGTTCCAAACTGGGTTCTAGTCAAACTGCTTTTTCTGCAGCCACCCACACCCAGACTCTGGAGCCTACCCTGCCAGCAATATCACTTTGCCTTCTCTCTCATCTTGCTTCATCCCCTCAGCCCCTGACCTTCCTGAGCTCGCAAACAGCAGCTCCCACGGCCCTCTGGGAGTCCCAGATGTTCCTGCACCCACTCCCACAGGCTGGTCAGTTTATCCTGAAAGTCTGACTTTGAGCCTCCACCAAAAACCAAGCCAAACTAGTTGCTGTGGAGGTGATTCCAACTCATGGCAACCCCATGAATTCCAGAGTAATGATTTTTTTGGAAGTAAATCACCAGGCCTTTCTTCCAAGGTACCTCTGGGTGGAGTCAAACTATCAACCTTTTGGTTAGCATCAACGTGTTTGCACCAGCCAGGGACTCTTTGAGCTCCCACAGCTGCTTTCTTTTTATTCTTCAATCTCACAATCACATTTTCTGGCTTCGAAGCTCTAGTAACACAACCCTAGTCTTTCTAAATCTCCATTCATGTTTTATAACTTTACCTTTGAGAAACATATTTCAAATTCACAGACAATAGACTGGGGAATGTAAATATTGGCGAACACTTAAGTAGTGTGAATGTTGCACCAGGCGCTGTTCTAAGTGCTTTTATTACCTCATTCAATCCTCCCATTGATCCCAAGAGGTAAATACTTTTGTTAAATCCATTTTACAGGTAAGGAGACTAAGGCACAGATAGGTAAAGTAATTTGTCCAAGGTTGCACAGCTAGTAAGTGGTTGCCTTAGGCTGAGTTCTCTAGAGAAGCAAAACTGGTGAAGCATATACGTATAGAGAGGGAGAGAGATTTATCTCTAGGAAATGGCTCACGTGGTTGTAGAGGTTGGCAAGTCCCAAGTCTGTGGGTCAGGCATTAGGCTGGAGGCTTCTCCTGACTCGCCTGGCTGCAAAGGCTGATGAACCTAAGATTGGCAGGTCAGATGGCAGGCGGTTGGCTTACAGGCTATGGAGGCTGATGAATCCCGAGATCGGCAGGCATTACAGCAGGCCATTGGCTCAAATCCCAAGAACCAAAGGTCAGATGATGATGAGCCAGTTGCAGGATCCAGAGTAAGCAAGTGAGCTTTGCTAGAACGTCATATATACATATTGGATGCAGGCCACACACCCAAGGAAACTCCGCTTACAACTGATTGGCTGATCACATCAGGTCACATCATGGAAGATGACTACATCATTGCAAACCTGTTAAAACCAAACCTATTGCTGTCAAGTCAATTCTGACACATAGCGATCGTATAGGACAGAGTAGAGCTGCCTCGTAGGGTTTCCAAGGCTGTAATCTTTATGGGAGCAGACTGCCACATCTTTCTCCTGTGCAGCAGCTGGTGGGTTCAAACTGCCAACCTTTTGGTTAGCAGCCGAGCTCTCAACCACTGTACCATTAGGGCTCCACATCGTTACATAACTGCAAAACTACATCATTACATAACTGCCAAACCATTGAGAATTATGGCCCAGCCAAGTTGACACGTTAGAACTGGAAAAATTAAACCCAAATTTACTGGCTCCAAATCTGTACTCCTAATCACTGTGCTATGTTGCTTCTTTGCATAGCATTATACAGAGGGCTGCTTGTCCACCTCTGCCCCAAAACACATGCCAAGTCCTTTAATGTGCAAGTGGCACATATTTTTCTAGCACCAGGAGGCAGTCGTGCCTAGCATAGTCCTTGGGGGCCAGGACAAATCTGTGTTCTCTCTGCCTATCATTAGAGGCAACATGAAGCACAGTTTCCCCAATTCCAGGGTCTGGACCTTTATTCTCTTCCTTGTTAAATAGACCAGAAGGCTAGAATTTCGGGCTGCCTGTTGGGATATGGAACAGTAGGGCTCAAAGTAGCAGAAATTTGTTATAGGCAACATAGCTTTAAAGGACTGCCGTTGTTCGCTGGTCAAAACTGTACCACTTTCTCACATCCTCCCACTTCTCCTTCCAGAGCCTTCTCCTTCCAGCTCCCTGTTCCAGGTGGCCAGGGCTCCTCGTTGTGGTCCCTGGTAGATGGCCCCCTTAGACAGACTACTCCCATCTTCAGGACAAGACTCATCATTTGCAAGTGAAGGCAAACCTCACTCTTCCCTAACGTCTGTGATAGGCTGAAGAAGACTGACGTGAACTTGAAAAACATCCTTGAGGAGAGCCACAGAAGGATACCTTAAAGAATTGGAAGAGGAAGAGACAAGCACAGAGGTTATTGTATCTTAATGATCATGGGCAGGGCTTAGCATCAATCCTGTGGTAAGAGCCTCATGCCTTTTTAGCATCGTGAAACGAAGACACTTCTCTCTTACCGGCTTCTCTGAATTACTCTCCCCATACTGCAGTCCAGACTTCCCCTCCCGACCCCATTCCCCAACACACATACAAGGTATAGGCCCGAAAGTGATCAGCCTCATTCATACACCCTAGAGATGCTTGTATTCAGGACCTATTTTCGGTTAACTTGGCCTTATAAAAACTCACCTGTCCAATGTCTCATTCCCTCAGATCCTTGTGGATGACCAGCTTGCTGTTCTCTGATGAGCTAATTCAGGAGAAAATATAGATGAGTTAAAATATTACCCCTTACGAAGGCATTTACCTTAAAAAAAAATCCTAACAAAAAAGTAGCTCAACACTAACACTTAACATACATCCTCAAGCCAGCCTCCCACCTTTAAAAGTGTCCCCTCTCTCCTCTCCCCACACAGAACTCCTCCCTCAGCCTTTAAGACTCAGCTTAAAGCTCACCTCCTCCATTAAGCCTTCCTTGACTGAGGCTGTCCACACTCATGTCTTTCTCCACTTAACACCTACAGCACTAGAACAGAATTCAACAAGAGGAAATAGAAGCAGAACTAGAACCAGAACAAAAGGGAATAGAATGCTGGGGCTGGGTGATCTCAGAAGTGAGTTTGGCACATACCCTCATTTCACAGATGAGGAAATGAAGATACAGAAGTGACCAGCACACAGCAAGTCAGTGGCTGTTGTCAGGGCCATCTGGAGTTGTTTCTGCCCAACCTTCCCCCTCATTTCTTGGGAAAAGCCCCCTCTTCTTTTGGGAAACACTCACCCTACTATTCATCAAACAAAGCTCTGATAGGGGTTTTCAGTCAGTGAGCATGTGATCTCAGGTGGGCCAGTTAGCATTCTTCCCTGGAATTTTTGAAATCAAAATTTAAGAGAAGCAGCCTTCTCTGTCTGTGAGCCCAGGAGCAGCTAGCAATCATGGCTCCTACCTCATAGAAAAGGCCAGTCCAAGAGAAATGGATAAACAGGAACACTGGCTTGCTTGTTCATTCATTTATTCATGAAATGACCATTATTTATCAATGGCCATCTGTTATGGATTGAATTGTACCCCCAAAATTTGTATATCAACTTGGTTAGTCCATGAGTCCCAGTATTGTGTGATTGTCCATCCTTTTGTCATCTGATGTGATTTTCCTATATGTTGTAAATCCTACCTCTATGATGTTAATGAGGTGGGATTAGTGGCAGTAATGTTAATGAGGCAAGACTCAATCTATAAGATTAGGTTGTGTCTTAAATCAATCTCTTTTGAGATATAAAAGAGAAAAGTGAGCCAAAAGACATGGGGAACCTCATACAACCAAGAAAGTAGTGCTAGGAGCAGAGTGTGTCCTTTGGACTCGAGGTCCTTGCACTGAGAAGCTCCTAGACCAGGGGAAGATTGATGACAAGGACAGAGAGAGGACAGAGAGAGAAAGCATTCCCCTAGAGCTGGCTCCCTGAATTTAGACTTCTATCCTACTAGATTGTGGGAGAATAAACTTAGGTTTGTTAAAGCCATCCACTTGTGGTATTTCTGTTATAGCAGCACTAGATAACCAAGACACCATCTATGTGCCAGACACTGCTGGGCTCCAGGAATAAAACGTTGAGCAAAAACAGACCCAATCGCTGCCCTTGTGGAACTAATCAGCTTGCAGGGGAGGCATTATTTAAATAATAAATACATAATAAATATATATAATATTATATTAGGTATGGTATAATAAATAATAATAAAATATATTAATTCCTTAATTAACAACAAGCAAAGTAAAACTGCCATTTTGACAACTACAGTAAAATCAAGCTGGAACCTATGTAAGGTGGAAACCTATCAAGAAGGAATTCAAATATTTTCCACTAAAATGAGTGATAGAAGAGTGGTAAGACTGCACCCTGTTAAAGGTGGAAAACTTGTGAGACCTGTAAAAACGAGGCAATCCCATCAAGTTCTGGCTCTTGCAGTTTTCACTGTAGTTAGAAGGAAGTTTTTATGGATTGAATTGTAACCCCCCCCCAAGCAGAAATGTTGAAGCCCTAACCTCTAGTACCTGTGAACGTGACTTTGTTTGAAAATAGGGTCTTTGAAGATACTATCAGTTAACATAAAGTCATACTGGAGTTGGATGAGTCCTAATCCCTTCCAGGTGTTGTCTTATAAAAGAGGAGAATAGACAGGGAGAGCTGGAGGAAGAACCTCCATCTGATGATGGAGACAGACACAGCTACAAGCCAAGGAATCCCAGTGATTACCGGGAGCCACCAGAAGCTAGGAGAGAGGCATGGAACAATTTCTCTCTCAGAGCCCTCAGAAGGAACCTACACGGCCAATACCCTGATTTGGACTTCTAGCCTCCAGAACTGTGAGATAATAAATTTCTGTTCTTAAAAGCCACCCAGTTTATGATAGGAAATGAAGACAGAAAGGTATTGTATGCTTCTGAGAGCATACAATAGGGGATTTGGCTTAGCTGCCCTGCACAGTTGTTCAGTTTGTACACAAAGGAGCCCAGGCAAGGGGGCAACTGGGAGCTGAAATCCCACTTGTACTCTGCAAGCTGTACAAATCCTGGTTTGAAACTGTGTCCAGAGGAAGGGGCACCTTGTTCTTCATGCACTATCACTGTCCACCAAAGGGAGCACCTTTTTCTAATTTGCTCCAAAGGCTTGAATAGACCAGCCAGGACTCTGGGTGTGATCTAGGCAGAGAGACAGGAGATAGAGGAAGAGGAAGAAGCTTCCCTGAGGAGGTGACTGGAGGTGAATGATGAGTAGGAAGTAAACTAAGTGGGGAGAAAGAGCTTTCCAGACATAGGGACTAGCCTGTGCAATGACCTTGTCTTGATGGCCCTCTAGTCTTTGGTTCCAGTCACTCCTGAGACCTGGCCAAGCCCCTGTCCTTCCAGGGAATTGGCCTCATGACAATACACTCTCCTTTTGTAGTTCAAGTTAAGTTTTTGTAACCTGCAACCAGGAGAGTCCTGGCTTGCAGAGCAGAGCTGGTCCAGCTCTCCTACCTCCCAAGTCCAGTGGACCTCCAATATCTGTGGCAGGACCCACCACCCTTCCATGTGTTAGAAATCTCTACTCTGCATGGTCTCCTCACCTGGAAGTCTAGTTCCTTCAGAGCAGAAGATGTATAGTTGATGATCTAACATTATCTCCAGCACATAACAGAAACTCAGTAAACATTTCATGAATCAAGGGTTGACTGACTTTACTGGTGGTCATTTTGTCCACCTACCGGGTGAACTGGGGAAGTATTTGGAGACAGAGTGGCTTTTCTGTACCCCCTCATCACCCACCAGGTTCATCCGTAGTCTCCACTGGCCCTGAGCTTACACAGTCTCTACCTTATACTTATGTTAATAGAGGGCTCTGATTTGTCTAGAGTTTGGCTGTGGATAGCTAGAGGAGTTGGTTTCATAAGGAAAAGAGTCAGTGTCTTTTACTCTGTCTGTATATGCTGAGTCCCAGTGGGCTGACTTTAAGATGAAGCTTTTCTCAGATCTGAAAGTCTATAGCTGAATGTTAAAGATGGCTTTCACCACTTAATATCCATTAGAGCTTTGTCTAAGGGTGTCTGGCAACTTGAAATCCTACATAGTTTTGTCAGCCAGGAACAGTCTGCTTTCCCATTGGTCTTTGTATTTTTCCCAGATTAAGGGCAATTACTCCTCTGGGCATTTCCTTCCCCTCCAACTTCAGGGCCTGAAGAATTTCAGCTTCATGTTACTCTCATGCTGCTGCTGCTGCCACTTGCTACTAGTTTTGTTTAAAAAGCTGGTATTTGAGGTTTTGAGAGACTCACTTCTCCTTTTAATAAGCCAGACTCCATTGGCCTGAGACCCAGCCTGTCCTTTGGAGGCTGCTCAATAAGCCAACATTTGGGAAGAGGAATCATAGAGTCGGGGTGCTTTTCTTTTCAGTATCTTGGGATCCAAGAGTTTCAACAGACTCTGCCATTCTTTTCTCAATTCCTGAGACAACAGTGGAAACACAGAGATGAGATATCCATCAGATCTTGTCCATGCTTTCTTCAGCAAGACTCCAGAATCAGCAAGTCTATTGAAAGCAAGTGGTGAGGGTGCAAAAAGCTTACACACCCAGATTTTGGAATAAAGCAACCAGCGGTTGAACATCAGCTCTTCTACTCACCATAGGATACATTATTTGACCTCTCTGTGAATCAGTTTCTTTATCTTTAGAATGGGTACAACAACACCATCTACCTCACAAGAGAGCCGTGAGGACTAAGTCAGATAATGTATATGTGGAAGAAAGAATAATAAAACCAAAACCAAAACCAAACACATTGCCACTGAGTTAATTCTGACTCATAGCGACCCTATAGGACACAGTAGAACTAACCTATAGTCTCAGAGGAGCGACTGGTGGATTTGAACTCCCGCCATTTTGGTTAGCAGCCGAGCTCTTAACCACTGTGCCACCAGGGCTCCAGACAGAATAATGCCCCCCAAAATAATGATGTCTTAATCCTCAGGACCTGTGAATATGTTACTTTACATGGCAAAAGGGACTTTGCCAATATGATTAAAAATTTGAGATGGAGAGATTATCCTGGATTACCCAGGTGGACCCAGTGTAATCACAAGGGTCCCTATAAGTGAAAGAGGGAGGCAGGAGAATCTGAGTGAGAGAAGGAGGTGTGACAAGGTTGGAGTGAAACAGTTGCTGGCTTTGAAGATGGAAGGTGACCACAAACCGAGGAATGCAGGCAGCCTCTAGAAGCTGGAAAAGTCAAGGAAAGGGATTTCCCCTAGAGCCTCCAGAAGGAATGCAACCCTGATGATGCCTTGATTTCAGCCCCATGAGGCCCTTTTGAACTTCTGACCTCCAGAACTGCAGGATAATGAATTTGTGTTGTTTTAAGCCACTAAATTTGTGGTAATTTGGTACAGCAGCAGAAGGAAACTAATACAGTATGTAAACACTTCCCCCACTGCCTGGTAAACATTCCATAAATCGCTGTGGCTGTGATTTTTTATTTTTGTTTCCTGTAGTCAGAACTCTTTTGTTGTAAATGGCAGAAATTCATCCAATGTAGGTTAGGCAACAAAGTTGGGATGGGTGGAGCGGGGGGTGGGCTTTGTTGACTCACACAATCAAAACAAGGCAAAGCTGGTTCTTGGTTGCACGCAGCGAAGCTGACTGTTTAAGTTTGCAGATGAGGAATTCAGTGGGAGAGTATTGCGGAGCTCACAGAACGCACAGGAAGGTTGAAAGCCCTAGCTCAAGCAAGAATCAAGGAGAATAGAGCATAACTAAAATCCTGCCATAGAGATGGTCTGCCTATGAAACCGCCATGTTCTTCATATATGCAGTATGCAAATGACACAACCTTGCTTACCGAAAATGAAGATGACATGAAGCACTTACTGATGAAGGTGAAGGACTACAGCCTCCAGTATGGATTAGTATACTTGAACATGAAGAAAATGAAAATCCTCACAACTGGACCAAAAAGCAACATCATGACAAATGGAGAAAAAATTGAAGTTG